CTACGTTCTAGCAGAATACGACTTTTTGTGGAAGATGTCCGTGTCCACCTCCACTTGGGCAGAAGAGCTTGCGGATTGGTGACGTTTTTCTGGATAATCAGGGAGGAACTACCAATAGTTGACCTGGAAGATTTCCGGCGCTGCTGAGAGTCAGATTTCCATCTCATTAACGGTGAACTGAACAGGCGACGACCGAAAGAATGGCAGTGTCTGTAGATAGAGAAACACTAGATTCACATTAAAAAGATATTGTCTCGAGAGCCATCAAATGGAGCCTTCCGAAAGTAGGCAGATTACCGCCTCTCAACCTCTCTTGAGTGGCTCACGCTACAAGAAGGAAAACACACGGGAAAACGAATACTTGGTGAGAGTGCGGTTAATCACATAAGGAATCGACCCGTCATAGCTACAAGAAGTTGTGCAGCCCGTGTAATGTAAATGTTCCGCAACACCAGGTACAAATAACACTGTGACTTGGCCAACCAGCCACACTACGGCCCAAAAGGCCTGTATCGGTCTACGCTACATAGAAAGCAGGTGGGTAAAGATATAAATCTTATTGGAGGACCAAATGGAGGTGCCTTGAGTAGGAGTGATTAGCGGAGTTGTTAGGCAGCCGATTTGTCGAGCCTGAGCACAGTGACGCGTCCAACACCACCGTCCAGTAATGTGACGAGGTTCCTGGACTGTGGTGCAAAGCTGATTAATGTGAGGATTTCGACAAATCCTTGCTAACCATCCAGCGCTCAGAACGGGAAAATGTACGAGGTGTGACGGTATAAGGTCAGCAATTCCACGCCGTTGTGCCGGAGTGTTAACCATACGTTGGAAGTAGGTCAGCTCCTCAGAAAGCAGAGGTGCGCTGTCCTTTCACCAATCTTCAAGGAAGGAGACCAAAACAACCGAGGCGATTACAGACCGATAGTGTAACTTCCCATACGCCCAGCATGGAAGGAGGCCTGGTCGCAGATGTTGTTTGAACATACTCATGCGGAAACAATGTTGTTCACTCCGACCGACGTGGTTTCAGAACTGGAAGTTCATGTCCCACAAGCCCTACGACCTCTTGGGATGACTGTACCAGTAAGTGGAACAGTGAGCAACCAGTTCACGTTGTTTTTGTGGACTTGGGAGAAGCTGTCGACAGCGTCTCACGCTACAACATGCTCGCTAAACTTTCAAAAGTGAGTAACACCGAACCACTCACGTCTAGAGGCCACAGGATCGTGTACTAGAGGATTCAGACCTACTTCGGCCGGAGGAGTGTAAGAACAGTATTTCCTCAAGGAGCAATCATGGGTCAGTCCTAGTTTTGCTATTACTAAATGACATCCCGCTCAACCTTCCTCTTCCATCTTCTCACCCACCGACTACATCAAGATATGGAGGGCCATAGCCGGGAAATCCTTGGAAAGGACCTAGGAGTAAGCTACCCCGACACGCCAGATACCAGCGTCAACTACTAGGAAATGTAGGGAAAGGCAAACCCAGCCACTCACTTTCTAAGAAGGGAGCTTGGAGCCCTAACCTCTGGGCTATTCCTCAATATATCTGAGACCTACACAGTGCTACACTTGGAGGTGTTCAACAAGATAGCCCCTCTCTGCCAAAAGGACACTCTAGGACTCGCAAAAAAGGAGCAGAGGGAGACAATGAGGTAAATTGTCAGAATAGCAGGCGAAACACGTGCCTAGCGCCTTAGAAAAACTAATCTTTGTGTTGAGCCCTTGAGGGAAGTAGACGGCCTAGTGACAGCCCACAAGGCCATCCATCATGTGGTTCAACCCTAAGGAAAGATATTATCGGTCGAAAACCGACAGTTCCTGGGGAACTTTACTCGCATGCCCCTCCAGACAGCGACGACAGCGATTGAATCTCACCTTTTCTCACGTGAAGCTTGCCTTGTACGGAGTGCTGTGCCTAAAGTGGCGGCCCCAGCCGTATCAGTTAGCCCTTCAAGATGACTGGTGGATAGGTATAGGGGTGAAAAAGGTCTACTATGAACATTCTCTAGCAGCGATTGAAGGTGTGCTCATCAACACCTGTGGTGCCCAACTTCGAAATTTCCTATACGATATATGCCTTATACACGTTTATGCTGATGAAACGTGTTTTCTATAAGCACTTTACACTTTCTTCTCATACTTTACTAGCCCAGTTTTTCACATCACTTTTTAAACGACGCCTAAACCTTACCTAAAGGTGCTTGCAAAAGCACGAGCTGCAGAATGTCAACTTATCTCATCAGCAGCGTTTAACTAACTTGCACATTTAGATCTTTGTGGTACCGATGGGCTGTGATCGAGAATTTTTCTGTCATCCGCTGACCAAGGGGTGAAGCATAACCTGTAGAGATCGGACCAGTTGTTTACCGATTATCTCAGGCCCTCTAGGTTTTTTGGAACCAACAAGACAAAAGTGACCATTTCGAGTGAAGGACTCACTTTAGTAGGGCAGGCGTAGAACTCATGCGACTACGGTTCACAAATTTCACAACACGAAGTTTGCAGTTTGAAACCCCGTCAACTCTATAGAAAAACAGCCTAAGATTCGCGAAAGAAAACCTTAAAATGGACAATACCCACCTTCATGGCCATAAGCAAATCAACTGAAAAGACTCCTGTAACCGTCAAACTAATATAACTGAACAAAAGGACCAAGTCTCGGGCCTCAGAAGCGGCAATCTGACATCTACGAGATTCCCTTGATCGCTTTATTGATTCTGATTCAGATTGCAGGTTTATTGCTTGGGAATAGGAAGCTGGGAGCCTACAGTAATCCCTTTCCAGTAGATTTCTGTGCTTGTTCAATCCCCTTTTGAACAAGTCGATTCATGATGTGGACACCACTTCTCCTGGAAGTCGGTTCCAAGCATTGATTGCTCGACGCGAGAACCAGCACCCTTGGGAGATTATATTCCTTCTTTGCTTTCGTAGCCTCCTACTATGTCTTCTGAGGTGTTCTGACCTGGCGGGAAGGAAATGAGAAGATAGATCAGGTCCGAAGTCACTTCTTAGAATCCTGTATGGCATGGTTAGGTCTCCCCTCTGTCCTCGATAAGACAAAGCGAACAGGTTCAGCTCCTCAAGTCGGCTTTCATGGGTGAGGACAGCCATCGCAGGGATCATATGAGTAGCCGCCCTCCGAACTTATTCTAGAAGGTCTGCATCACCTTTCACACAAGGATTGGTCGCCTGTGTACAGTTTTCTGATTCAGGCCTAACTAAGGATGTGTATAAGATGGTGAACATGTCACCACTTATTTTCGTAAACGTTCTGCGCAACGCCCAGATAGTCCTGAAACTCCGAGCTGCTGCCAATCGACAGTGAACCGTGGTTTTCAAGTCATAACTCACTGTGACTCCTAGGTCAGTGTGAGCCAGTACTGACGGTAAAGGAGTGCCGTCAATGTCGCAGGTGTTGCTGTGTGTGTGTGTGTGCTCCAAGTGCATGCTCACACATTTACCTGTATTGAAGGGCATCAGCCAATTCTCTAACTGGGTGAGCAAGCTGTTCAGGTCTATCTGAATCGCACGTATATCCTCATTGTTCCTAATTTCTCACCAGATTCTTACATCATCATCAGCGTAGAGAGCCGTAGGGGATTTCACGATACTTGGCAGCTCGTTTACGTGTAGGAGAAACAGCAGGGGACCAGGGACTACGCCTTGCACCGCTCCACTCTCTACCGACTCCCAGTGAAGAGTTGAGGATTGATCCTCACTCTTTGTCTCCTACCAAGAAGAAAGTCTCTTATCCATGCGAGCAGACTGCTGGTGATTTCAAAACCTTCCAGTTTCTCGAGCAGCCTGGAATGAGTGCCTTGACGAATGCTTTACTAAAGTCAATGAAAAAGACATCTACAGGTGTCCTATCATCTTTAGGCCTTACCCAACTTTCTCTGACTGTAAGGAGGTTCGTCAAGCAGGAGGAACTTCTACGAAAACCGTGCTATGAACGAGACAATAGAGTGTCACTCCCTAGGTGGACTGTGATGGCTTTCTTGATTACTCTTTCTAGGATTTTCACTGCAGTGCTAGTCAAACTTAACGGTCTGTATTTGACGGGAGCTGCCTAGAACCTGCCTTATGGATAGGTGCTACTATGGCATCCTTCCAGTCATAGGGGAGTGTGCCTTCACTGAGAGATAGTCTGAATATAGTAGTCAATGGGCCGACCACATAGAGTGCAAGCTCTCTGAGCAGCCTTGAGTGCAGCTCATCCGTCCCGTTGATTTTTCCACATCGATATCACTCAATATCTGAAATGTATAATCGCTATGGATGCCCACATAGTTTATTCTGTTGGATACCACTGTGAACAAGTGTTCACAGGAGATTCCTTTGTGAAGACCTAGGCAAAGTATCCAGCCATGGATTCTACGTCTTCCCTATCGCTACCAATGAAACAATCTCTTTCCTCCACACTGATTAGAGCGAGTATACCACGACACACCTTATTCCTTTAGTTCATATACGAAAATAACCCCTGGGTGTTGCGATGGAGCCTGCGCAAGAGGTATTTCAAAGCATGTTCCAGACCGGCGGATAGCCGCGATACATTTATCATGAGCTATTTTGTAATGCTTCACCACTTTAGGCGCACTAAGATGAGTGGCAAGACTCCAAAACGTTTTCTTACCTCGTGCCAAGATTTGGATCTCATGGTTTATCCATGGAGGACATTGTTTCCGTCCCCTCAAGACAGTCCACGGAATGAGCGGTTGGGTCACTCATGCATATAACTATTTGAAGGAGCACCATTCACCTTCAACCGAGGCTTCTGGGTTGACTGTCCATTCCTCCGAAAAGGCTGCCAGGTTAATAACTTCCATATTCGCTTTGCATTTGTTGAGTCTAGCTGAGATTACTAACGTTATTTCTTTTCAGCTCTTGAGAAGAAGTGAAAATAAGAAGACGGAACACGCAAAACCATTACTTTTCACAGAATCACAACCTGATAAGGTTTTAGTTCACTACTTGGAATTGTTTATTGAGAATTGAAAAGTGGCCTACCGAAGGTCCGACCTAGAAGAGTAATTTGCTTCAACGCATGGTTTCCGTAATAGTGTCATGTGGTACGTATGATGGTAGTGTTTTCGCACTGGAATATGCTCATGATAACATAGACTTTTCCGGGCCAAAGCAGTTGAAGCCTATATTTGTTGATCCTGCAGCACACGATGGAGCAGTCACATGTGTTGCAGTAAAGGACAATGTGGTTCTCTCCGGAAGTAGTGATGAAATCATTCAGGTTCGTTAATCAATCGTGAAATGTTTTTCTTCGAATCTCACATGTCTTTAAATGTAAGTCATTACACTGAAATATGATTTACACGTGATGTGTAAAACGGTCATCCTTATTCTGCGGGTTACGACTTCTGTACTGATTTTTTTCGAGTGGTGGTTTTTACACCTTATGTACCAGTCGGACATATCTTAATTATGGTTCCAATCAAAAGAGGGATTTCAGGGTTTTTCTTTTCCTCGTTATTGATTTATATTTCGAAACCAGCCCAATAATATTTACGGAAGCCATTCAAAATTATTTTCAGTTTCATCAGTGCACAAACTTCTCACTGTGCATTTTGAATATCAGTCAGGTTCCCACGATCCCTGTGTTTTCATTTGAACATGTCTACTAGAATACATAATTAGTTTTGACGAATTTGAGAATGGAAAATGTTTTGCTCAATTTTCTGAGAAATCCCCGTGAAACAAACCTACAGTGTGTTGCATTATTAATTAAGTATAATACCAGCATTAAAGGGAGCGCCTCAAACTACGCTGTTATGCTCCTTCAAGTACATCGCTTTAATATCTAATAGTGAGACTGATCTAATTACTTGGTGCCGTAAGAACACATCTTTCAGATTAACAGTGTTAGAATTTCCGAGGATGTAAATACATTTAACGATTTATTCATACGTGTTTTCCTAGCGATTTGGTGAACAGGTAAAAGCCAGCTGCTGACTAGATTTTATATATATATATATATAATATATATATATATATATATATATATATATATATATATATATATTAAACGTCAAACAACTGAGTTGATGATGTCTGGTAGGGGAGTTATTTAAAACCATAGTATAAGGTTCAGGGTAGATAGAACTTAATATGTATTAATTAGGTCGTTAGATGAATTCACAGTAACTGGATATAAATACCTTTGCTTATTTCTTAGTGTAGCCGAAACTTTCAGTACTGTGAAAGGTCATAAAATGTCTTCATACACTTCAATAATGTATGATTTAAGCAAGTTTCCTACGCGTCAAGCACAATTTTTCGGCCAAATTTACAATGATTTTAATAAGAACTGAATTATTTCGGCTATCAGGACAGTAAGTAAGTTCGCTTATAGGTCCCCCAAAACACACAAGTCCAATCTATGCACACTGCTACTGTCATCAAATGTGTGACCGTGATGGCCAAGTAGATCTAGTCAACTCGAAAAAAAATTGTTGAGACAGCAAGTGTATATGTTGCACAAATTTTCTTCATGTTCAGGCTCTACATGGAATGTTAATATTTGCCAAACAGGACATCGTGCCATACTCATTGTAAACCCTGTGATTTAAATATTTTGATGATTCCACTGTCGAATTTTTACAAGGCATTCGCAGCTAGTGTTTCCTAGTTTTTTATGAACTTGTAAAACAGCTCAAATTTGGGTGCATTAAGACTTACCACCTTTCTATTATGAAAAGTATCCTGTCACTATCAAATGATAACTACGAAGTGTCAGCGCATAATGTCCTAAATGGGTATCGTAAAACACACTATCGTATGCAACATATATTGGATGTGAAGAATAGTATTATCCTGTCTGTTTTTATATTTTATTAGGTATTCTCACTGGATTCCAAAACTCGACTAGGCGCTCTCGAAATGCATGTCGGCACGATAAGACAGCTGAAGTTCACTATAGAACCACACGACACCACCTACTGTCACTTGTTCAGTGCTAGTGATGACGGCTGCATTGCTATCTGGCGTTGCGAAACCCCAGGTGGGTTACTTACCAAATGCCCACATCCATCATCATGGGAGTGTGTCCGTCAAATTCGCCGCCACAAAGGACCAGTTCAAAGCATAGCAATACATCCTTCCAACCGCTGTCTCTTTTCTATTAGTGAAGATAAAACATTCAGAGTTTGGAATCTTCTTCGAGGTCGGCAAGCGTACGCCGTAAAGCTAAAGAACTTGGCGAATGGAGCAAAAGGTTTGTCAATGTCACCTACGGGCAAGCGTATCCTTCTGATTTGGCCTGATAAATTCGATATGATAAACCTTGCCGGGGAGTTGGATACAGATGCTGATACCAGCAAAAATGAAGTTTTCAATCTTGGAGGTGTTCAGTTTCCTAATCCGACTACTTCCGAGCCTGTTTTTTTCAGTGAAGATGATGAGGAAATACATTCAGGACTCTTCAGATTCATGTTTCGCTTATGTTTTAATTGGAGTAGATGTATCACTTAATATGTTTAAATTCAATGTTCACAAGAATTCAGCTAAGCTGGGAAAACCTGAAGTTACAAGTAAGGTTCTTTTACCAGGCAAACGGATTAAATACCTTCAAGTTCTGCATTGGCCATCCTGCTTGGTAAAAGACGAGTCGATTTTCCAGGGACGTAGTCGTCTAGTGGTGACCATTTCAACGGAAGCTGATTGTAGCCACGTACGAGGTTATGCAGTAAATCTAAACTCGTCAGATGTTCTTGAGCCGGGAAAGTCATTTATCCCATTTTTCACATATGACGTATGGAGTGCTCGAATTACTGCTCTATCTGCTTCGTGGATCTCAAGTGAAAACATACATCCAACTGAACAATGTGATAACATAACTGGGATTCTCACTAGTAATGAAAATCAATCAGTACTTACTAATTAAAAAATGTAGATCAAATTTCGTGCTATTCTTTGAAATTTTGTACATATTAGCTTCGATTTCATTTATGCGTAACATGACCTTAACACGAAACTGCTTCAATAAGAAGTGACTTGCATGAAAAACTTTTGACTCCACCTTTATGATTACAGTCTTTGTGGGGCTGTAGTTAAAGGAATTAACTTACGACCGGTAGAACACGAGTTTGAACATCGCTTCACGTACGAGGTTTGGGCAGCCAAGTAGTATCACTAGCCGTCATACAAAAGGTGTAAGTCATCGCCTGCTGCGCAAACCAGCACAAGTATACTGAGCAAGATTTGACATATTGCCATCTTAATCAAATTTTGTGACGTTAACTGTCCATTTCGGTAACAATTATGGTGGCTGTACCCACTATGTTAAATGAGTATAAGTAGATTGGGCCCAAAGTGACAAGACGTCCTGAAAATCAACATTACTTTAGCAAGATATTGCTGTTAACTGAAAATTTGATTGCTTGGTGATGACTACTTAGATTGACGAACTTCTGAGTACAATAACAATCGAGGAGACCGAAGTCATCCTTGACTCTGGTTAGATAAATTAATCCATTAGATGCAGTGAAGTGAAGTCGGTACCGGGCTACACATCAGAATACCACTCATAACAGTCTGTAGTAAGTGACCAGTTTACACACAACGTGCAAATTTCACGAAACGAACGTTATCACTTTGCAAAGTGTGTGTTTTACCGTAGATCGCAGAAATAAGTTAGAGAAAACTCTGCAACCTACATTGACCATTTCCATCGTTATATTAACTGAAGGGAAAATGAAGTCATGGTTTGAGCGAGGCTATAATATACGCTTTGCGTCTGGAAACTAAGGTTTTTACGTTCGCATTAAGTAAGAAGATTCCCAGGGTTAGGGTCCACTTAGTGTTTTGCAATGAACCAGTTACCCAGTTTTAAGTAAGACTAATATTTAACTCTAGGTGCAACGTAAAATGTATTTTGAGTGAAAATAAAAATGCTTGTAGAGGTAATACATAAACGACTCATGAGAACATAGCTTATTTGCAGTAGCATACGTTCGTCTGATATATCCTATATAAGCGCCATTTGTATTGCAGAAAAAGATTTTTTCCATAAGTTTTCTGTCAAAAAAAGTAAATATCCACATACATCGTTCACAACAAAATAAGCAACCATTAGAAAAGAGAAATAAGTTGAACAGAGTAAATGAGATTGGTGCAGTGTTTTGAACGCTTCTGAATCATCGATAGGTTTACGTGGCTGGCTTCCTATTCATTCAGATCACACTGGAAACTGCATTGATTAGGGAAGCAACTGCAGTATTAAACACTGAGAGAGATATAGCTGTTGTATTTAGCGATATTACGTTTCAAAATATCCGAGCAGGGACCCATCACACGTTCAAATCGTTTGCGATCAAGTTTTACACATCGCAAAGGACCTTGTGCAACCACAGTGGCTGCACGTGGCCGGTCAAGTAGTAAGGCGATCTCACCTGCATAAAGAAGAAAAAATTATAACATTAGAGTGGGGAAGAGAAGTATCGCTACTTACATTATTGAATGAGGTTTGGAAAAATGAAAAAACACTTAAATCAAGTGACAAGGACTGCAAAAGGTGGGTATTAGATGCGGTTGGATGAATCAGAATGAAATGCGCATTGCTTGGAACGGACTCTTAGTCAGAACAAAGATTTGGGCATGAAGAAAACAATACAGTGGAAATCTCCGCTCAATTGTTCCCCACGATGCAGCTCTTGGTGCTAAATAAGCATGTACGAGTACTTCTGTCAAACAATTAGCTATAGCTTTAGTCATACGCTTACTTTTTTAGCTGAAACATATCGTTTCGAAAGTCAACTTTCTGGAAAAAGTAGTCACATACGAACAGTATGGGAGAAGTTACATTTCGGATTGTCATACCTGACTCAGTACAAGCGGAAATGAATAAAACGAAAGTAACTATGTGGACGATGATAAGAAAAACTGGTAGGGATTCGATTTTTCGTAAACTGAAGTTTTCAGGATTTAGAAAATATAACGGGTGAAGACGCCTGCTTCTACACGGCTTTCTAGTGAACTGCAGAAAAAGCGTTGACAACTTAGAGCTTCAGACGATTCATGACATGTATTAATCCAATCGCTCTGAAGATCTCTTCTTACTCCGGGCGGCAATGCAAAAGCAAGATATCCAATGCCCGACCGACAGCCTAGCGGCTATCGACGACTGCAGCTTTGACACAGAGAGCCTGTACACCACACAGAACTACACTGGCAGGAACCCTTGTTCACTCGACGTCCTACCAAGCTAGATAGGCCTATTGGATAGTGGTAAGAAGAGAAGCGGTTGCCGTTATGATTGGGGTCCAAGAGCGAAGTCGTACTGCTGGCTGGGGTAAGGCGTTTCCCGTGGATTACCAGCAGATCATACTGATGCTATGTAGCTCGATGTGTGGGAGAGGGTCCCCAAAACAGCACCTACTGCAATGCAGTATTACGGTGCTGGCGGTATTGGCTTTTTCTATCCGGCGTCAGCACGTATCCTTAGAAGACAGGGTATGACAAGGACTCGAGCAACTGACCCGGATAGATTTTGGTGTCACACAAATCTTTTCTGTTTCAGGTGCCCTACAGAAACAACCACGGTCTGGGCAACCGGTAAGCACAGTCAGGCTGACCCACAGGAACGCCTCAGTTGCCCAACATCTAGCCCGAACCTGGATGGAACACAGATGTCGGTCCTTCAAGATGAGAAGACTGTTTCTAACCTAAAGCAATGCAAAGCAACAGAATCTAACGGTTTGAAGGCTGAAGATTTTAAAATGAAGGTAAGGAATTGCTGATAAGAGTAACGCAGATGCTATTTAGTGTATGATAATCAGCAGTAGTCCCGTTACACTGATCCACTTCACTGGTCCTTCTAGTCTATAAGAAGACGTAATGTTACAACCATAGGGGGGGGGGGGGGGGGGAATCAGTTCGACTAATATCATATTCAAAATCCTCGACTCCGTAGTTATTCGATGCCTAAGTCGAGCTCACAGACAAAAAACTCGAGGAAACCAGGCAGGTTTCAGACCTGGATGAGGATGCATCGATCATACTTCACTCTCCGTCAGTTTCTGGAAAAACAGACAAACTTACCGCGGGGTCGACACTTGCCATATTACTTTACCTGAAGACTGCACTCGACTCTGTCAACGAAGAGGTGTTGTGGTAGTGTCTAAGTAAAAAGGAAGCACTGGGAGATTACAAAACACTGATCACAGCCCTCTTCCTCAAACCCATGCACCCGTGTGAAGCCTTATGGATAGTTCCCATCAGAAATGATGACCGAGATGTATAAAATTGTAACCATAGAAAGCAGAATTTTCCCTGAACTGCCGGTCTTCTTCCCGAATTCCTTATCACAAAATATAGTGTGATTACCAAGCTGAACAGCATAAAGCTACCTTAGTGTATTTTTCCTCAAAAGCAAAGGTATGTGTCCCTGTTTGCAGTCCAATTAAAAGTGTATGTAGTGAGTAAATTGTTAGGTAATCGAATAACGGTTGCCATCTCTTGTACAAAATATAATCATATTAGATTTTGAGCGGACCTTATAAGATTTGTACTTTAACAATTGGTATTAGTTTGATGTTGCCTAATCCGTTATCTACATCTTAGATAGTTGGATATTTCCGGTGACGTAAATGTCACACTTGCAGTCAAATACTTAATTGTTGATATTTAACATACGCTGTTTGCGGCTTCTTAGTTCCAGTGATTTGCAGAGATATGAGCCAATAATCTTCAGAATGCATTCACTGGTTGACAAAATCAAAGTAGAACGTCACGAGTAGGGGCATCGGTTCAAGTTGCCACACTTCACAGTAGTATAAAAAGAACAGATGGATAGAAAAGAGGCGATATCAAAGTAGATAAAGTTGTGTGAGAGAATAAACAATCTGAAGATAAAGGCTAGCGCAAATATCCAAGCTTTAGACGTCAAAGAGTGAATACGTCTGGGCCATTCCCACTGATTTTCAGCCATATCACAAAGAGTCCTCAGTCACTGATTCCTTTCACCTCGAGGACCCCAACTGGACAATCTACATCTCCATATTAGATTGGTTTATTTCATTTATAACACACAGTGATCTAGTATTATTAACTTGATGACGTTCTGAGCACAAGTTATTGCTCATAATCATATCAATGTAATCACACTACTTTCGACGTCTGTTTTTTATAGTCCTGTCACCTCATATGAGTTGTTTTAATTAGTAGTAAAATTTTCCGTATCTCTGGCATAGGTGTTGCGTCATTTCTATCACATGTGTTGGGTGTGGATTCGATGAACAAAGGTTCAGTAATCAGTCCCTCTCTCCACCGAATTATATTGGAAATAAGTACAGTGGTCTTATCCCATCCTATTGTGTGGTTGTATGTTAATGTATGCACTGTAATAGCTGAGTGTTTTTCTAGATTATTGATCTTATTGGGGTCTGTCATTCTGTATTTAGCTAAATTCCTGTTCTGTTAGTGTAACTGACCCCGACCGGCTACCCTGACATATATAATTGACCTCGCACTCCTTAAACTTGATAGATTAGATTATTTTCCTTAATTGGTTTTATCGGATCCATCACATGCAATGGGAACGACGCAACGCTTATGTACCACAGATATGGAAAATTTTACCATGAATACAAACAAAGAATAAAAGGTGACAGGACTATAAAAAGCATACGTCGAAAGTAGTGTGACTTCATTGATATGATTGTGGGCAATAACTTACGCTCAGAACGTCATCAAATAAGTAATACTATATCACTGTGTGTTATAAATCAAATAAACAAATCTAATTAGAATTAGGTTTTACAACTACCCAAGTTTTACACTTATATTAAGTCTACATCCCCACACACGCCTCAGATCAACAGTAGGACACCTCATCGACTAGCGCCAGTTCTTGGTCTGGTCATCACCCTGAACCCTCTTCCAACCTAGTCCAACTTTCTCCAGCATGACACGTCGGGGTAGGCGGCGGCTTGGCATGGACAGTACATCTCCAAGCCAACTAAGGTTAACAAACTCATCAATCGACTTGCCTCTACATTGCTCACATGGTGATCCCACCAAACGCGAGCTACAAAGACACCTGTGATCGAAACCCAGTGGTCCCTTTATGTTTTCTACTCTTAACGGCCATATCTCAGAGCTCTAAAACATGATAGAGTGGTCTACAAGACAGTATACTCCTTCCTTGATAGATAGTCTGATATCTCGCCACAGGTGACGCAAGTTGGAAAATAACAATCAGGCCTTTTGCATGTGAGCTGAGATTTCGTCAGCAACCAACCCATTCAGTCTGATGCAACTTCTGAAATAAGTGAAGTGCTCAACATATTCCACCACTTCCCTGCCTATCATGGGAGCGGTTACAGATCGGTCGTGAAGTATCATCTTACATTTGGCAGGTGTCAGCAAAACGCATGCCAAAGATTCTGATTTCTGCTCTATGAGTTCAGAAGACCCCTCATTGCGCCAGCGTCTTATTCTGGCAGGACAATACCGTTTGGATACTCCAAGTTAACCAGATGACCTCTAGGTAGAGGGAGTGGTCAATCTCTGTGAAGTCAAAAGTACCTAAGGTTATGCCCGTTAGTACGTCTATAATAAGAACGGTGACAGTGGGCATCCGCGGTGGACAACACTAGTTGCCGTTAACTCACATGACAACTCTTCATAAGCCCTGACATGGCTGGGTGAGTTCGAGTAAAGAGCTTTGATTAGAGTTTTATACCTCTTCGGTACTCCCTTTACAGTCAGACACTGCCATAACGCTTCACAATCGACTGAGTCAAATTCCGCATTCAGATCGACAAATATGGCAAGTGTCGGCCGCCCACGGTATGTCTATGTTCCAGAACCTGTCAGAGGATAAAAATATGATTGATGCACTCTCGTCCAGGTCTGAAACCTGCCTATTTTCTAGAGTTCCCTGTTCTTGGGCTCCAGTTAGGCATCGGCTTACTATGGATCCTAAGATCTTGGACACAATATTAGTCAAAATAGTTTCCCTATGGTTGTCACAAGAAAATTTCTCGCCCTTCTTATAGAATAGGAACATCAGGAGTACACCACTCTGACGCACTAACTCTGATTACCATATACTGCTCAGTTCTCCCGTCAATCTAATCAGCAACTTCCTACATCCACCCTTGAAAACTTTGGGTGGAAAACTGTCAGTTTATGCTGCATCGAACAGCTTCAGGTTCAACACAGCTTCTTCAACTTCAGGGAAAGTTGGAGGACTGACATCTACGTTCAATTCAGGTTCAGACTGGCTGTTGGGCAACTAGAACGTTACTGGGGGTCAGTGTAACTGTGCTTCGAAGTGTTCTGCCAAACGTTCTAGCCGCCTGTCCTGAGAGGTTATCAGCGTCCCATACTTTACGGTGACGGTTTCACTGACCGTCGTCTTCTTTCCGGTATCCTTAATAAACCTGAATTGTTGTCGAGTGTTACCCAACGCTGATGCCTTCTCCATCTCTCTCGCTTTCGCTACCCACCAAGGATCGGGATCGACGCGAAGACAACTTACGTTTAAGCTGCCTTCGCTCTTCATCGTGGTGGGAGCCAGCTGGAACCAGTCCTGTCGCATGTCAGTTTGTATAACGTCGCAGAGCTCCACTGACGTTGGTTAACCTTCGGGTATACGTTAACAATTGTCTTTACCGCTGTTTCTATAGCAGACTTAATGTCACACCAGGTTTCCTCAGAATAATCATTGCTGTCATGCTCAGATAAATGTTTAGCTGCTTCTTCCCTAAATTCGAACTTGACGTTCTCATCTTCCAATCGACCATAGACAGGCTTTACTACCTCCTGTTTTCTGTGGCCAGTAAGGTGCGGAGATACACCAACTCGTTTTAGCGCGTGACCGAAGTCCAAACTGGTATGCCAGAAAGAGCAGCAACCCCCCACTGATCTTTTTCAACGATGGTTTAATGCAAGGTGATCTATGTCCATCGTTAGTTCGAAGTCAGGGTACGCCATGTGAGACAATGTCTTTTCTTACGCCTAAAGTTAGAAACAAGTGGTTGACTGAGCTAAATTGCAACAGCTGGTCACCGTTGTCGGTTCGTTGACACAGAGTTCCGTAAACACCACCCAGATGCCTGTCCATTTGCCTCAGCTTTCCTACTTGAGTGTCAATGTCGACTGCCATTATGACTACACCTCAACCATTTTCTTTCTGCAGCAAAACTGACAGCTTCTCATAGAATTCATCCCTTGTGTAACTCGAAATATAATCGGTGGGTGAGTGAGCGGAGATTACGAAAAGGCACCGCCTAGTCTCACGATCCCTCCTAGTCCTTACAAATCCATTTAGTTGAGCAACACAGACGGCTGTTTACCGATATCTGGTCGAGAAGTGCACCTCCTGCTCTACAACTCAGTGCTATGCCTACACCAGCAAGTTCACAAGAGCTAATCCGTGGGTCTCGCAAGATGAATTTTGAAGATTCATCACTATAACCAGATGAGGTCAATCTAATAGCCATACTCGATGCCTGTATACGTGTCTCTGAGACACAGCATACGTCTATGGTTAGAGATTCCAGAGTTCTAGACAGCGATGCTTGCTGTCCGATTTGGCATAGAGTTTGGACGTTGAAAGCTCTTGCATGAAATCGATGACAGGGTCTTAGGAGACTAGGATCGTTGGCAATGGTTGCAGAGTGAGGTTGGGTAAGGGGCTCAATATTAGTATTACGAGGTGAAAGAAAACAAGGGTATAGAGTTGAGGAGGATAGGATATGTTTGACTGAGTCTTGTGTACTACTGGAAGCGTGAGGGCAATTGACACCTCTCGGATGCCCACACCACCGAAAGCTATTTCTTTTTAAGGTATCAAAAAACATTTTGTGACCGCGAAGCCCATGGGACATCTGCTTGAGGCCTGTCGGACACAGTCTTTTGTGGGGCGTTGTTTTGAAGTTTGGTTGTTCTAATGCCGGATAGAGAGAACGTACACCGCCGACAGCGAAAGACTGTGAGGCAGGATGAAGTATATTTTGGAAGCCAACATTTTCTAATCCCTTCCGTTGAGAAGGCACCATCCATGTGGCACTGCTGGTTATTCAAGAGAAACACCTTACTGCTACCACACCACATCCACCTAGCAGCAGTACGACTTCGTCTTCAGACCCACATCATGGAGTAGTAACTTAAACTATAATGGTAATAGTTTTTCGTTTTGCCACTATCCATTAGACTTTTCTGGCATGGTAGAACCTCGAGGGAACAACCGTTCAACCAGCATAGCTCACTGTGATATGCAAGCCCGACGACTACGTCAAGGTGGCAACCTATTCGTAGGGAATGCACTCACTATAAGGTGTTACACTGTGAAGTAAGGTATTAAGTACGTTCATGCCTCACTTACTTACTTAAATGTTTTGCAAGTATTTCAAGTTAATGTCAAAAGCTGTATACTTACCAAAATAATCTGATGGTCTCAATTTACCAACCTCAACTTGTTCTCCAGATTCAGACGGTTTTTGTAGGACAGCAGCTGTTCCCTGGAAGTAGAAATACAGAGCAATAAGTATTAAAATTTGTCAGTTTAGACTGTAATAATGAAATATATGCACGGTTGGACTAGGTTCATAGAAGAAGGAAATGGCAGGGTGATCTAAAGAAAAAGGAATGCAATTATTGTGGCCATATTCAACCTCTTCTCCATTTAGAGAGTATATATATTACTGGATACTTCTGGAGAGAGGAAGGGAGAGGGAGAGAGTAATAATGAAATAGCGAAAAAGGATCAAAACACAGGAAATAAAAAAATGCTCCGAATCAATTATGGAGTTAACAGAAGTGCATTAATGAGACAGATTCTGAGTAATGCTACCTTGTGCTCAATGACCAACTTCATAACACGCGTGTGTATGTTGATGTGACACGCCGCAGCTTTCCAAATCAATATAATAATATTCGAAAAAGTGGAATTACTTGTTTTCCTGCACCGTCATACTAAAGTGCTCCCCACTTGCTGTTTCCACTACACATCAGAAATGATCGGATTACTGTAACCCAATAATTTCATCAACAGTAAGTAGAAACTTTATGAGAGCAAATTTTCCCTACAGGTGTTAAAAGACTGCATTTTTAATGCATTCAACCCGCAGGATTGCATTACTGATATATTTTACATCAAATTAGGAAGTCTCTGCGCGATTAGTTCTTATAAAAAGAGGTTAAAAGGTTTGCTTTGGACAAGAAGCAAATGATGCACTTCAGCATACTTTTCCAGTGATATGCGACTGAACACTACATTAGAAGTATACTCGCAAAAGCATCTCAAACTTTTTCGCGTCTGGGTGGAGACATCACCAAAATCGATGCAACTCCCTGTGGTAAGTGAGACGATTAACACCGTCTACTGTTAAAAAAGGTTGGTATACAGTACAATCCAACTGTTTACTGTTTGAAAACTGAAGTAGAATCGATCAATATTTCTTACAAAAAATTGTCCTTATCCGTACGCGTAAAACAAAGATTGAGAGAACTAAACAGTAATAGCTGATACCAGTTTATATGATGATTTTAAACAGGCTTTAATACAATTCCATGAATTCGAGTTAAAAGACCCTGGCAACTATATCTATGGTTAAGAATGCAATGAAGGATGAAGTCTTGATAAACATAACTTCAGAGGTCGATACTTCGGAAACCACTGTTTACCACCTTCATTCATAAAATGTAATGATCAAGAACTAATCCATGGTTATTATGGGAGGATCTCTATCTTTCCTTATAAAACCAGCGACTAATAACAACTGGAAGAGATTTTCCCAATCAATCAGCCAGTCCATCTAGTAATTTCCAGGCACGTCTTAAGAGGGGTTCCATAGGTTAACGAAAAGACTGATTTTTCAATGACTGATTTGTCTCGTCAGTGATTGCTACTTGAGGGCCATTGACAAGAAATTCATCGAAATTATAAAGGACAGAAAAAGTTATACAGTGGGAAGTAAAAAGTTCATAACCAGCTACACTACCTACCTCTGTAATTATAAAGAAATCATCACCGTGTTCACCTTGACGAACAACAACTTCACCATCTTCAAAACGGACTGGTTCCAGTGCATCTGCTACAGTTAAACGTTCCCATTTGTCAAGATTGTCTAAAGTAGAGTTTAGAAACAAGAAATTAGATTCAGTATTTCATAAAATTTAGAAAATTTCAGCGTAATGTGTAACATAAGGTAGGCATTATAGTAAAAGGAACAGGTTAATTATAGTCTTTTAAGAGAAGACAGAAAGGAGCCATAATGTCAAACAACAACCTGAAGTGAGTCTGAGTAAAAGGTTAACTGATTAAACCACAACTTAATATTGAGAAAGTGGAGTCAATTTGTGAATCTAATAGCTCCAACATAATTTTGAGAGCACGTACGAGCAATATTTATCCACTGTGTTTAAAATATGATAAAGGTGAGGATCAGTATTCGGAGTTCGGCGTAATAACTTATCTACCCGACACAAGTTTATTTTCCAGGCTATGAACCACACCATGTGTACTACACTTGTGGTACTACCTGGTACCCCCGATTGCAGTAGGTAGTAGGTTTTCAACACAGACTTTAGTTTTTGACAGTCGAGTGTTTCAGTCAAAGAGCTACAGCTCCACACTTCTGAATGAATGGCTTATCCACAAACCTATACATGAAAACGTCGGAAAACATTTATTTTTAAATACAGTCAACCAGTAGTAATCAACCTTGGAGATGACCATTATCTTTGATGACTGATATTTTAAGGACGTCCTATCACCCGCCTAGCTATTCGCAATAAGAGCTAAAAAAAATCTTTTCTGTCATTTCAAGAAGCACATTAAGTTTATTAGTTAGTCTCTATTTCACAAATGTTACCGACATTGCATGAATACATAAGAGTAGAAAGACAGAATACTATTATTTCCGATCGCGTAAATCACTGAACGACAGCAGTTCCTATCTGTTAGAAATACATGGTAATTTCTTAAGTACTATTCTCTACACAATGTGTATAGTGATTTGAATGCATAGGCATTCTGATGAGAAGTTTTTACGTCAAGTAGCGTGATTGCAATATGGTCGGTTGTAACGTAACTAACTACACATAAAACAATATTACTAATTAAATAAATCCAATAAAGTATAGGTTAATTTTAGTGAAATTTCAATGTTGTCTAGGTGTTACATGAAAATGGATTATCCTTATATTTCTTAACCTACAATGAACATTAACATATAGAAAGCAACCTAGCAGGCTGTAAAAAATAGCATTTATAGCAACTTGATCCATATCACTCGTGATCTAAGCATCAGGTAGGGTTAGCCCACGATGCATAGTGATGTGATACAACTTAAGCTTGAAGTATACTGGGCAATTCGAATTTTTGTCGAAGGTAAAGCTTATGAGAAGTATACGCCACTAATGGCAAGATATGAAACTGTATATATGAAAAAAGCATTAGGATACGTCACAACAGTAACCATTATATTCACTATCAATAACGGAACCTAGTATAATCTCAGGAAATAGAATTGACGGATACACTACACTCTACCAAGATAAAGAATAGAAGTGATCACACAGTTTCATGTTAAAAGAGTTGTTACATCAAACGAACACTTGGAATGAACAACGGGAGGGTTTATTTACTGTTATCCACTAAAAATAAGACGACTACCACAACTCAATGGATAAAAACTTCACGCTTGAAGCCATAAGCACTGAGCTAAAGGCTTTACTGACAAAATAAACACTGAGTTGCTGGTACACCCAGTTAATAGGCAGAAAAGGGGGTCCAAGTTTCACTGTTAACTATCATCAAATAGCATCAGTTATAATAGAGTACTGCTAACCGTCAAATAATAGCATTACTTAGTTCATCATGATGCTGAAACAGAAATACTTTAGTAACTTTTCTACAATTACTAGAAGCAATAACATTTACGTGAACTACAAAGTGTAGACAGAGAAATATGAAAGCGTATTTAAACAAGGAAGCGAAGACAAGTCAACACGACCAATAAGCTAAGTAGTTAAGACAAGCCATTCAGATGAATAGGAAACCTAGATCACAGTGACAATGCTCGTGAAGACAAATATTATTCAGTAGCTATATAAAAAATAATTCACGTCAAAAATCAAAACAATTAACCTTATAAACTCTACAAATTTACCTAGAATAGGTACACGACATAGGAATTCTTGATACATTTTCCGACGACGAATAGTACTTCCCATTAATATCCTCCTGTAGGAATCTCGATCGATACCCCATAACTTGACTTCTGTTTTTGCTTTAACTGTAGCTGCTCTTGGCGTTCCGTAAATGAGGGCTAGCTCACCAAAACTGCCTCCTTCACCAATAGTACTGCTGTACTCATTATTAAGGAATATCTATTTCAAGTAAAATGAAGTTGTACTTAGTCTAGATATTTAAAGAATCTAAGTACGTATTCTCGGGACACCTTAGAAAAGATATGAAAAGATAATCTAATGCGTCAATGTTGAGAGGTACTTCAGGATTGTTAGTGTAAATCTATCAAAACAGAAGATAAAAAAAGCTAGTAAATGGTCTGGGAAAAAGAACTTTCTGTATTCAGATATAGTAATTCAACACTGATGTTTTCCTTATGATAGTAAAATATTTGCCATCATAATTTGTGTTGTAGAGAATTAGCCTCTCAACTAAATCGAGATCAGGGGTTCACAATATTCAGGATTTTTATACAAGTCAAGTCATTAGCTTGGAATGTTCTGATGAAGACTGTCAACAACTGAAATCTACTAGTAGCAGTCAAATTATCTTTTCGCCAAGTATCAACAGAACCATCGCAGTCTAATCTAACTGTAAATCGCTACAAATTAGGCAGAGTATTTTGATGATCAATCCTAATATCCAAATTTTGATGTATATGTGAGAATAATGAATGAAGACAACAGATAACCTTAGTCGGAGTTTGCTTAGAATAGACAACATTTACAACCACGTAAATCAACCGCCAATCATAATCTAGTTTTATTACGACCAACGATACTTGATAATATATAATAACCTGGAACAGGACGTTCTCCCAGTACTTCTTAAAATATCTCATCAGAAAACACTAAATTTGTAGTATCTGAGAAAAAACATGAAGCAACTTGGTTTTATAAGTTGTCGATGCTGAACTAAGGCACTGTCCAGTCATCATATGTTATAATCAGTACGTCACCCAAGCTCTTAACAAACTTGCTTATTCTACACACTGAATTAGTTCTTTTTACAGTTAAGCGATAAGGAACGTTCGTTTGACCATATAACACGCCGAAGACGCATACATACGTAATCAACATTTCTCTGTGACCACAATGAAACTACAAGTAACTTGCTCAGGTGTGGACTACGAAGTATTTATCAGTACTCTAATAAAAGCATATTACACTGACCAACACCTATCATGCTACTAGAAGCTTGGGTTCATTTAAAAGTGTTAGTGTTTATCGTAAGCAACGGATAAGTTTGCTTATGTATTACAGATGTTCTTAAAATCAAAATACACTAAACCACTTGAAAGTTTAACTCGCATTCTAACCACACGCACAGTATGGCGCCTGATGATACTACCGGTCGCTCTACTGACACTCATAAGAGAGATCTATCTGTACTATGATGAAACTCAAGTTCTCTCAGATGCCCCAACCCAAGTATTACTTGGTATCTAAGTCGGGTAATGATTACTTTTATTGAAAGGAATAACAAAGCTAGATACAGAACCGTTGTGTGCTTTTATGATTACAAAGTAATTTCTCACGTTGAGCAAAATCAATAAATACAGTTTCATGAGCAATAATTACTAGGCTAAACCATTTGTTTGTACGTACCAGTCAGTCTCACTTCTCAGGAAAAAGTTGGGCATAGGAAAGTGTTAACATGGTTATGAGTTATATCGAACTATATCACTTCATCAATTCAGGCAGTAGGGGCTTCAAAACTGACAGTGACAACTCATGAATATAGTGATGCCATATTAGGGGGGGGGGCAGATCAAGACTTGAAACCAGTCGATGAAGTCTCTTACTGCTGGTCTGAGCTATGTGGGAAGATGTAAGAAAATAAATCTTTATATCACAGTTGTCAAGAACTTTGCTTATTTCCTCCGAAGTCTCAGTACGTCATTGGAATTCTTTAGAGGGAATTCCGGTAGATTTTAAACTTCATTCTTCAAGATAATTTTTTCTTCATGTACAATAAACTAGTGCTAACTGTTCATTTCTATCGCGTCCTCTATAGAACCAATACGATTAGCTCTGTTGATCACATTTTTGATGACTGTTACTTTCATAGACTGATAATCTAGGATATATATTTAGCCTAATTTTATAATGATATGTAAGTAAAGCTCACAAACAGTTAAAGTTGGATATCTGCTTCGTGGATTTTCAGGATTCTATAGAATCTAAAAAGGGTACAGCTTTTTGGTGGAAATGAGACTCCTAGTGAAGGTGTTAGTTTCGCTTCTACGAATTGTAACATTCTTCTAGACTCACCTTTGAGTTTATTCAATGTGATTAGTATTTTTACAACTCTTAATTCCTCAGTAGTCAGCACCAAGATGTTCTGTTGCTTCTTTCTTGCAGCTCGTTTGGTTCATCACTACTACGGTTCTCCTTTATCTCGTGATTATATTTATTCACCTTTAAGTAACTGCTTCGGAGAAGACAGTTAACCTTTACTTATTTTGAATTGTCAGGATTTAGATGTAAAACGGTATAGTTACCATTTTACGTCAGACTACATTCGTTACGTCACCTGAAGGTGAAATATTGTTTACTGAAACCAAGGTAAAAAAAAATCTGGAGTACTAATTTTTGGAACCAGTCAGCAACTGATTTCTTGTCTTAAATTTCTAGTGTTGGAGTTCGATAGTCCTAAAAATTATTAGGAATAAGACAATAGGATCACGATATGACAATGAAGGAATTTGTCATAGTGAAACAAATATAACTAGTCAAAAATCATAGTTACTGATTCACAATGAACGATGATCATGTAGCCTTCAAAAAATGCTTAAGCATCAACTGAGAAATATGACCATAAAATGTGACTTACATCAACTTCGCCCTGATCGATAATATAGAAATTATCACCTTCATCACCTTGTTGAATAATCACATCACCCGGATTACGATGAACAGGGAACATAGCATCAAATATATCACTAAGTAGAATACGATTAAAACATCATAAATTAGGTGTGAACGCATTAGGCAATTGGAAATACAATACACTGAACAATTTTCAATCGTAATATAATATAGATTAAAAGCACCATAAAAATACAAATGAGGACATCCATAATGACCCTAGCCATACAAGAAGAGTGATATGCGCATCACGATGTAAGAAAGATAAGTAAACAAACAAATGAAATTCATTTAGCTAATTTCTACTATCATACAATTTTAGGATTCAATGAATATGTAGTTTCAAAATTCTTTACAAATTGAGTGAGCAGAATTACAACAGTACATAACAAAGGTTGGATTCTTTCCCTACTTCTGAACTCAATACCAATAGTAACCTTGAACTAGAATCAGGGTGGAAATTGCCCTTTCAACACAACATTCCCAGCATTCAATCCATATACATATGCTTCAATATGCGCAGGAGTAAAATTACCAACGACTCTCTCTCCGCAATTCCTCAGACATAATCAAAGAGAGAATATTTGGGAAAAATAATTGTAATATGTTATTACGTACAACAAAGGTTAGTCGGTTAATGCCTGTAATAAAATGTCATGAAATGCAATTCAGTACAAACTAAGCCTTTAGTGCAGCTGTGGTTGTAGAGTAAAATATGTCCTGAAACGGTAGGAGGTGCTACTATCTATCTCGTAATCCTCGCATATGGTCTGTGTTCATACCCTCTACATTGAGTGACAATCTGATAACATATAGAACGCGTTTATCACCACTCAGATGTGCATCTCTCCTCCAAAACTGGCCTTCACTGACACCTTGTTTACCAATAGGGAATGAAAAGACTCAGCGCGCTCATCTAGGAAGTCAGATCGACCTTGTGGATCAATGACAGATGAGATCTCGAAATGGATTCAAAAGGCTCACTTGTCTTTCCAGAATCATCGCCATTTATGACACCGGTACAATATCGAATTGCCTATAAGGCGTCGAGTGTATTGTGTTGCAATTTCCCGCGTTTTGCTATATGACTGTGTAGATAGGTTAGTTGACGTGATAGTTACTACCTTGACTTAGTGGTTGGATTTGAATATCACAATGACCTAATGAGTTATGCTGACGGGAACATCTGTTCCTTGAGGTCTTGTCATACCAGAAAAATCTGTTGGACAGCAGCACGACAAAAACAGTTGTCATCGTAACGTAACTAGCTATGTTATGATGGGAGTTCGAGGGCAAAGTAGTAGTGCTGGCTCAACGGGGTGTGACGGAAGCAATGGACTTCCCACGGATGGCTAGCAACATCATGCTGATGCCACTTTACCTGAGGAAAAAAGCAGTTCGAAAAAGTGGATCCGAAAAATAGCGCTCTTCGTCGCTTTGAGGCAATACAGTCCCAGAGATACTAGCTTATTTTCCGACGTTAGCACAATAAAATCTCAATGCAGCAATCCTAAAAAGATCATGTTTGTTAGGCATCAAGCAGACATCCCATGAGCTCTGCAGTTGCTGAAGATTGTTGTGACTGCTTTCGCGTAACTTGTAGAAACAATTTCCACGGTGTAGGGACCTGAGAAGTGTCATTCGTTCGCACGCTTCTAGCAGTATAAAAAACTCAACCGACTACCTTTACTTTTTCTTCTCCCTCACCTTCGCTTCCTGATACCAGTATTAAGCATCTTAGAACGCCATGAACCTCTTACCTCGCGATCACTGCTGACGACCCAAACCAGCGGAACATCCTTCTTACTCCCCTCAAAACACTTGTGAATTTCACTTTGAGGCTTTTCAGAGTCCGAGGACCGGTGAAAAATTGCTTCTCTGTCTAAGGCACCCGTTTGGGGAAGGTAAAAGAGATGGCGAAGCCATCAGCACACGGCAATACTCCGTAATTGTTTTATCTTATTAGGGATAATGGCAGGAGGAAGGTAATTAGTGAGAATATCACCTAAAAGGATGGAACCCTGATAGCTTCTAAGGACAAGTGACAAGCGCATTGTCACCTGAGTACGTTTGGTAGGCATTTTGCGCATTACTTCCTAATAAGATGATGTTTCACAACTGATCTGCAGCTCCGTACATTTTAAGGATAGTGAGTGAGGTTGTCGAATGCGTTAGGGTTAGGTTACCCTAACTAGTACAATAGTAAACGTAAATTACGAACGCGACAAACATACAGTGGCTACAAAAGGACAGTAAAGTTTCGTGGTCAGGATAAGCAAGTGAGTGGGAAGTTACGAATACAAATGACAATAGTATATGTCGTTGCACTTATCAAATTCACTGTAGGCAAGAAACCTTGTATCCCAACGAACCGATGTCAGTGATCATCCTTACCAATTGTTTCTGAAAGCCAACTGGTTATGACCAGCAGTGACCTTAATTGGTGTCCTTCTGCATCCAGCCAACGGTGAAAACATATCATTTCGCTATCAGTTATCAGTGAACACGATTGTTATCTTTTTTTAGAGGACTCACTTAGATTCCAATAGTATGTTAGTCCAACCATCCATCTATCTATGCCTTAGTGGAAGCAGAAAGCAAAAGCTGAGAAAACAATCTAGGCTTGGTTGGTAAACAAGAACATTGAATGAAGGGTATTTGTGCATCTATGTGAACATAACAACAATTACTGTCTGGATGAAGAACAATATAATGTTCATTCCGCCATGGAAATAGTAAACACAATCAATAACTCACAACGAAAGATGAGGAATTATCAGAGGATTTCCGTAACCACACCCAACAAAATAGATGCAAGACTCATAACTGCCTGGTTCCGACCATGGTGAGGTGTGAAAGCGGTCCACATGAAATATCAGAGTAAACTTTGGGCGCTGTGGTACAGTATAATTCCATATTGTTTGGTTGTGAAAAGTAACACGATCTCAGTTTTCTAAAGGTTCCTCAAAAAGCTAACTCATTCATCACTCTTCTCTTTCTTTCCTAACTATTTTTCATTTTTAAGATCAATGTGTTGCCATACTGTTGTGTGGCACATTTCTAGTTGCTAATTTTGTAGCAAGTTTCTGCTTAACATAAAAGTGACCCTCAAGATATCTGACGTAGAGAACATCGTAGAACAACGTGGAAGCATCTCATTGGAGGGTGAGAATACCAATGTAAAAATACTTTTGAGGAACAAGATGACGCAGTCAGTTTTCCCAGGAAAGAACAACAAGGTACTTTAAAGTAGACAACAGTTAACAATGAGAAAAATGCGTCTTACTTACCTGCCAGTATGACTTTACAGTTTGGCTGGTGACACCTAATTTGAGCATCGCTCAACCAAGCAGTCCATTACACATAAGAGGCTAAAAATCAGCAGCTATCAAACTGAAGTTACCAATGTGCAGAACTGATCTGAATGGTGGGACCGGATTAGCACTTCACATTATTCTAGAAAACTCTGTTCTTTTCTCTTAGTCTTGTGCATTACTTTTCTCTTCTTCCTGCTTTTCTAGCTTTCTTATGAAGTTTATTCAAAAGTACTATGAATTGAACTGATCCCTCGTTAACACAATCAAACGTGTTAATCATACGTAGATCTTTGGGTAAAATGAAATGTGACATACATTAGAACATTACAACAAGTCAACCGATGGAAAACAATTCATAAGGGTTTACAGGTAAATTTATTCAAGAAAAAAGGATTTAGAGTATAAGTGTTGACACTTACTGCATTTATTAAAGTCTAACTAATGTGCAAACTTAGATTTTATTGCGTGATGAATACTTCTTTGAAACGAAAAATTATGTAAATAAAAACTACAATTTGCATTAGAATGGAAAAAACTAACACAAAAATAAATACCTTCTCTCTGACTCATCTAAATGAGAAAATAGTACATTCTTAGCGATGGCCTTTGAGAGAGCTGTCATTGTTTTATAGTCCTTTGGTACAACCTTAAAACAAGGAAAAGTAAAAACAAAATCAGCCAGAGATGTGAATACCAAAATATCATCGACCTCACTGAAATAAAGGAAGATGTAAATTTACTGGATTCTGATTATATATTATCATAGACGAAAGAAATTACCACAGTTTAATAAGACACAAATCTTTTCTAATCTACTGTTTCAATGACGTTGTGATTTGAAGCTCTAAAAACAATAAACCACCGGTTTGTATGCTGTGTTTTTTACTCCCACTCGTTCAAAAAGATAGTGTTATATGCCCCTTAATTCAGTCCATGGTTCTTGATGTGGTTACTATACTCCACTTAACTAAGCTTAAACCTTTTCCAACAGATCGCAAAGTTGAGTTAGTGAATCCCAAAGCCTTTCGAGCGGTGTGGATGATAGATGAATGACAAAATGAAGATTTGCTTTCTAAACGAACCGTTGAACATTAAATGTGTTGACGATAACATCTTGCTTAGACACGATGCACAGGCTTCATTTAGCTGCTCGTTATGTGTTCAAAAACATCACATAAAGACTCAGGAAAATAGAATACTAAAAAATAGTCAGTCCATTATAGTTGAATTATTAGATTTACCACAGCGCGACATAATTGTTCGCTGGATTGGGTTTCGTACATAATTATTGTCCATCATCATATCAACGTCTCCATGTAATACATCAAATAAAGTGGTATTACACTACAAAACTGCCCAAGCTTTATTTCTTCAAAAAAAAGTTAGTCACCGAGATGTGTAAACAAAAGTTGTCATACGATGAATTTACCCGGAAAAATAGCCCATGACAAGTGAATCTGAGCCCAAAATACGCAACAGATCAGTAGCTTACAAATATGAATACTAACAGTGGTTAACCACTATCTGATCTTCTTCGAAACCCGAATAGATTCCTGCAACTCAAAACTGGACATGAGGTTTCGAAAGAGCCCACGAGTAGCCAGACATAAGTGGATGCTCTGTGGCTTCTGTGGCCTCACACCACTATCACTAAAACAACTGTGCAGGTACCTCCAAAAGAAGTAACCCTCCATAATGTGGACAGCTGAGAAGTACCGATTGCCCTCACAACTCTGTTAGCATTCAAGTTCACTCATTCGTTATCAAACTTCCACATCCTTGCCTTCTAATCCGTCCTCACATCTCTCAGTAAATTTGTCTAAATCATCTCTAGTCCACTGAAACTAAACTCCAAACCACATACCAAAACTTTCAATTCCATGCTCTTCTTCAAATCAGACAAGCTTCACTAACTAAAACTCTGGCATCTCGGGTCAAAGAAGTGTGTTGTGTTTGCGAGACATACAGAAATGACCCAAGCGTGGTTACTCACTTAACCTCACCAGGTCAATTTGGTGATTCTGCAAAATTACTCTTCGAGTTTCTGGAGATCTAATGGCTAGTTTTTGTGGTCTTGTGGGTATAGGTTTAGTGTAGTCCTGGGACAGAAAGCATTTTGTTTAAATGGATCCCAGTTTACAATCACATGTGCGCTGTTCGAATAAAAGGGACTGTGAAGACTGGAAAGGATAGTGAAACCCACCACTTCCCTTCTGTTTTGCTGTTTTACTGCGGAACATGTCATTAAAGGTGGAGGATATGAGAAAGATTTAGCTATTCGACCACCACTGCCTTCGCAGTACAGACTGCGTTTTGGGGAACCACCACATCAGTAACGCAGAATCCAAGCCTCGAAGTTTAGTCAGAACGGGTCAGTTAGTTGATGAGGTGGTAAACTTTCATCGTTGGGATATATGTTGTGCATCCACAGCCACTCTTTACCTAGTCACATGATGTCAGCTGAAGCAAATATAAGCTGCAAAACTTGAAGACGGTTATACAGAAAACTGGTATGAGTTCATGTCGCTGAATCTTAATCAGAATTATGTAGTAAAATGTTCATTTGGTTGTGGTTCGCGTGACAACAGAAATCGGTAGGTGGAGACTTGAATTGATACGGTTCGGAATTGGATTAGGTGCACAGGCATATCAAATCCAGTTATCGCTTTAGCTTTCTGTTTCTTTTTTAGTATTTTTCCGGACTATTTTTGACTAGCTTCTTGTTTCATTTCGGTTATTAGTATCTCCATGTTTGCCTAGATCGGCTTCAGTAATTAATGCTGTAAAGCAGTAATGGCATGTCGCGCCTTGATACTGACTCCCTGAAAAACGGAGGCAAGAAGTATTTGATCTTCCCAGCTGTCTTTGAACTAATCGGTGAGACTCCATTCGGGATAGGACGCAAAATCAGCAAAAAATAAAGAGATGGAAAACGCATCCGTGTGAGGTTATGGTGAATACCTACTTAATGGCACTAAACACTTCGGCGAAAGGGAGGAAAGTAGGTCAGACTGTGACCAGAAACGTAAGTCACAAATTTTCCCCACAGGTGACCAGAACGTCAGGCAGAACGGTGAAGTAAATTTCAATCGAATCACAGGCACGCTTCATACTCAATATCCATTGACGGCCATAATATGGAAATTAACCCACTATACCTAGTTAGCATGGAATGGCTGATAGCACTTCTAACTCCACTTGACATGAGTCATAAACGTCAGGTTACTCAGGAAACTGCAATATGTTATTCACCAACTTCATTTCAAGTTAACATACAGTCATATTCACTTCTGCTTACTTTTACTGATAATATATATATATATATATATATATATATATATATATATATATGCATAGCTTTTCTAGCAATAGCCATTTTCCAAACAGTTGACAATGCCACGAAGCAAATTTACATTGCGTAAATCCAGGTTTTAAGGTGACTTCCATAATTCTGGATTACTAAGCGTTATTGCCAAGGTCACAAAAAAGTCACAAGTACTTTTGGCATCACGCAAAACAACCCCTATAAATTTTCAAAACGTATTGTTCTACTTTTTCGAATTCATACTAAAAAAGTATGGCCGAAACACGTAGCATCATGCTTAAACGCGAGCACTTATACAACAGCACAATAAATAAATAACTACCTTTTTAACGTAGGATGCTGCATCTTCTTCTGTATACACTTCTCCACTAACTGCTCCTCTTCGAGATCGACGTCTGGTTAGATTAACACCAGAAGACGGTGATATAGTCATGTAACCTTCCACCCCAACCCCGCTTCCTTCCTCATTTAAGTTACTGAATTCGTAACTCCTGCCCATGTTTAGAGAAGTTTCATTGATAGAGTTCTCAATATTGTTGGGAAGGATGACATCTGAATCTGAAAAATAGTGGCGACTATTCATTTGGGAGGATTGACCACGACTCTCATCGTTTGCACCCGAATTATGAATACTGTTGTAACCAATTGTGTGTCCCAACTCTTCGTGTCCGAAGAGATGATCAGATGTATTTGGTACAGGAAATGTGTGAGAATATGTTCTACGTTCCTTTGATTCCTTTTTGGGAAAAGCAGACTCTACTAGATTGTTGGTTTGCGTAACGTTACACTTTTCATGAGAAACCTTAGAGGATTAACAAAAAATAAATAACAATGAGGAAAAACGGTATTTCAAAACTGAAAAGCAAGCGTAGTAGGAATTTAGTCTAAATACATATAATGTTGGTAAATTACACATTACCAGCTGACTTTTTGAAAATCCAGGTCGACTTGAACAAACCAATTACTGTACAAATCTCACCTGCTTTCGTGTGCACGACCATACACTATTAGATTCTACATGGAATTTACCAACCAACGTCATCAACGAAGCCTGATAAGTGTTTACCACATCTTTGACGAACCAAATACACTATGAGACGAACTTTTTATATTATTCGATATTGTCTTTTCGTTATCATCTCAAAATGTAACTTGGTATTTTTTTCACTTAGAAGCTCATAACTGACTTAAATTTCTGTCCACCAACACGTCTTTGAGTTGCTGAATAGTTCTCTCTGGAAAGCTGTTTTCGGTGCAGTATCTAATACAACCATTCGGAAACTACGAGTATAATAGGTTGAGAAAGTTGTGAAGGGTAGATAAAAACATCTGCTTACGACTCTGGAAAGCCTCGCTTTTGAGGTATGCTGTAGCTAAAAGATCTCTTCTTCTCCCTAAGTACATTGCCTGTTGATTAGCTTTTGTTCGGAATGTCATGCTCCTGGAAATTCTCCTGCAACTTCTGAACCTGCTCTTTTGAAGGTATTCCGCATTCTTTCAGTCGAATTGGCGATCATGATTGTCTGCGCTCACTGAAACCAGGAAGGCTTCATCATTTCTCCTTACTTATGGTTGGCGTTCATGAATATTTCGAGCAACCTGACGGCTGGATTGGCCAACCTAGTGTTGTGAACAACTTTGGCAGGAGACCTTATAGATTCTGTTTGCCCTGTCTTCCTTTGCCAATGTACCCTTTAGCCACATTTCTTGACCTGAAGGCAGGATAAGACTTTGTCGATCGTTAAGTGTTGTGGCAGTGTCTGACTATAAAAGGGGTACCGATCAAGCATATAACGCTAACCAAAGTACTTTACTCGAAATAACGCAGTTTTATAAGTACTTATGGAGAGCTGTCATTTGAATTGACGACAGCCAGTGGTGTCCACCACGAACGCCCTTTGTCATCGGTCCTATTTAATTTCGTTGTAAATGTACTGGTGATTACAATAGACGCTTCTGACTTCACAGAGAGGTCTCCCTAGAGGGCATCCCGTTGACCTGGAGTACGCAAACGACATTGTTCCGCTACGTGAAGATGCTGACAAAATGCAGGTTTTTTGAAAGCTTTGAGCAGACATTTGAGTATGTTTGGGATGTATTTTTACCCATCAAGTGTAAGATGCTTCAAGACTGGTCCGCAATTACTTTCACTTTAATAATAGCGAGTGAAGTGGTGGGATGCATTGACCACTTCACTTAAATGAGAATTTGGATCAACCCAAACGGATTAGTTGCTGACAAAGTCTCAGCTCAGCTACAGAAGGCTCGTTTCGCAACAGTCCCCCTAGTCTTACCCCACTTTTCACAGTTTGCCTCGCGTACTATGCCTTGCTTTCTCAGTTGGCCAAAAGTTTTGCCCCTCATTTTTTCATTTTACCTTGCATCTGGCTTTGCCTTTTTACAGCCAGTTTTCCAGGAGGCCCAGTCCTACATTATTGGAGCAACATGATTCCATAAACCTAAGGTCAGAGTCATGATATTAAAAGAGAACAGAACGATTAATTATATCTTGTTTACAATATCCTCAGGAGAATTTTGTGAGAAAGTAGACAAAGCCACTAGCTGACTGGAGGGATTCGCTGCCACAACTGTACGTACTTTTCAAGATACATGATGTTACAATGACCCTACAGCCTAAAGTATTGACATGTGCAGTAGGCAATGAGCAACATCTATTGTGTCGGGGCTAATGAAACCCTTTGGCTACCCAAATGTCGGTGGGTGGAACGGAGTTCAAACCCGTGACCCACCGGTTGAAAGTTGTTACGTATGACCATCCACATTCTCATATCACCGTTGAATAGCAACACAGAGAATCCTTATCATAACCGAGGGTTCATTGTTAGAGCGGAAAAAGGAGAGGACAGATTTCACTTAGGGAACTGCACTAATCATAAGTTGAAGGCGATTAAGACCCAACAGTTAAAAAAATTGCCGCACAGATGTATCTATTAGATGTCACATGAAAATAGCCAATTGCATTAGAAGGATAAAGGATACTAAGTTCCCTAAGTCCCGTAGCTATAGCACGCACATCGGATCATATTATTTATGGGAAAAATGGGACATCTCATGACGAATCTAAAGATCACCAGGAACTAGTATAAGTTGAACATTTTGATTGAATATGAACGATCAAACTAACATAACAGGTATGCTGTAATGTATATTACCTCAAGTTTTTCGAAATACTCACGAAGAAATGCTACTGGGTTGCTGGGACGATATAAACACAGATTAACCACGCAGTCTCTGAGCAATTTCTGTACATCGTGCTGCTTTACATAATCTTCTACATCACTCATAAACGAGTCGTCCTCCATAATTTCACAAATCTCAGGCGCATCGGTAAAATTCACAGAAACCGCCTTGTTGTCAAACCCTCTTTCAGTCTTCAATCCCCCCAATACCCAATCCGATGACTCATAAAGCGCAAGTAGCACACCTTACCCCAGGAATGGCACTCAGAGACTCCACAAACTCATCATGATGCATTTCGGATATTGAGTGGTATCGATGTGGAAAAATCAACGGGACGGATGAGCTGCACTCAAGGCTGCTCAGAGAGCTTGCACTCTATGTGGTCGGCCCATTGACTACTATATTCAGACTATCTCTCAGTGAAGGCACACTCCCCTATGACTGGAAGGATGCCATAGTAGCACCTATCCATAAGGCAGGTTCTAGGCAGCTCCCGTCAAATACAGACCGTTAAGTTTGACTAGCACTGCAGTGAAAATCCTAGAAAGAGTAATCAAGAAAGCCATCACAGTCCACCTAGGGAGTGACACTCTATTGTCTCGTTCATAGCACGGTTTTCGTAGAAGTTCCTCCTGCTTGACGAACCTCCTTACAGTCAGAGAAAGTTGGGTAAGGCCTAAAGATGATAGGACACCTGTAGATGTCTTTTTCATTGACTTTAGTAAAGCATTCGTCAAGGCACTCATTCCAGGCTGCTCGAGAAACTGGAAGGTTTTGAAATCACCAGCAGTCTGCTCGCATGGATAAGAGACTTTCTTCTTGGTAGGAGACAAAGAGTGAGGATCAATCCTCAACTCTTCACTGGGAGTCGGTAGAGAGTGGAGCGGTGCAAGGCGTAGTCCCTGGTCCCCTGCTGTTTCTCCTACACGTAAACGAGCTGCCAAGTATCGTGAAATCCCCTACGGCTCTCTACGCTGATGATGATGTAAGAATCTGGTGAGAAATTAGGAACAATGAGGATATACGTGCGATTCAGATAGACCTGAACAGCTTGCTCACCCAGTTAGAGAATTGGCTGATGCCCTTCAATACAGGTAAATGTGTGAGCATGCACTTGGAGCACACACACACACACAGCAACACCTGCGACATTGACGGCACTCCTTTACCGTCAGTACTGGCTCACACTGACCTAGGAGTCACAGTGAGTTATGACTTGAAAACCACGGTTCACTGTCGATTGGCAGCAGCTCGGAGTTTCAGGACTATCTGGGCGTTGCGCAGAACGTTTACGAAAATAAGTGGTGACATGTTCACCATCTTATACACATCCTTAGTTAGGCCTGAATCAGAAAACTGTACACAGGCGACCAATCCTTGTGTGAAAGGTGATGCAGACCTTCTAGAATAAGTTCGGAGGGCGGCTACTCATATGATCCCTGCGATGGCTGTCCTCACCCATGAAAGCCGACTTGAGGAGCTGAACCTGTTCGCTTTGTCTTATCGAGGACAGAGGGGAGACCTAACCATGCCATACAGGATTCTAAGAAGTGACTTCGGACCTGATCTATCTTCTCATTTCCTTCCCGCCAGGTCAGAACACCTCAGAAGACATAGTAGGAGGCTACGAAAGCAAAGAAGGAATATAATCTCCCAAGGGTGCTGGTTCTCGCGTCGAGCAATCAATGCTTGGAACCGACTTCCAGGAGAAGTGGTGTCCACATCATGAATCGACTTGTTCAAAAGGGGATTGAACAAGCACAGAAATCTACTGGAAAGGGATTACTGTAGGCTCCCAGCCTCCTATTCCCAAGCAATAAACCTGCAATCTGAATCATGTTAGCTGGTGAGAGTATTTTGAGCGACAGGCCAGAGTTCAGATGGTTGTAGACGGAGTAGAAGATGCTTTTGCTTGACCGGATTCTGCCGCTACAATCCATGCAGCACTAATTCTTTTGGTTGTTAAAATGCGTGCAAGTAAAGATGGAGGAAAAAGCGGTGGTTAACATGTGAAAATTCAATTAGTCCTGGGCAGACCTCAGCCGCATGTCAGGTAGGCACCCAGTTTGCTTTCAAAGGATTCAGACGAAGTGGCTTGGATCACATCTTAAGGGAGGGCGTTTCAGGTTTAACAACTCACAGGAGATAGAAATAGTATTTGATATCTAACCTGCTATGTTCGAGGCTTAGTTTCTCTGTGTGCCAACTAAGATATAATAAGCGACGGATTGGGTGTCCGGGAGTTCTCAGAATATTGTGGGCCACTATCAAGCCTCTTCTTCGCCTTCCATATTCCAGAGGATACATTTCCCCTGGAACCAGTCATTCTGCGTATATTTTAGACCCAAGGCCTCAAACAGACTTTGTCGAGTGCCTCTGAATGCACTCTAAGCTTAGTTTGTCCTTCTAAAGGAAAGGGAAAGGTGATGGTCCCGAACTCCAGGTGAGGCCGTGGAAGCTGTTGAAAACTTGGTGGAAGCATTAACGATCGAACTGTCTGGAATTTCATCTAAAGGTTGCTAAGGCCAAGTTTCTACGAAATGCGTTTCTGTCACAGTTGGCATGGGGTTTTAAATCATGAAGGACTAAGACGGCCAAATCCTTCTCTGTCAGTGACGCTCCAAGTTCCCTGCCGTTGAGGCTACAATACATGAGATGCATTGTGCCTTACGTGTATCACCCTGAGTTTCCCGGGATTAAATGCCGACCCGTTACTGACTGCCCAGTTGTGAAGCTGAGTTAGTCTTCCCGTAGAGAAACACTGTCTTCACCGGCAAAAAGAAGGATTATGGAAGCAACCTACCAAGGCAAGTCTCTTGTGTATATTGGAAAAGAGAGAGGCCCTAGTGGTGAACTTTGGGGGACACCGCCAGGACATTCTGTTTCTTCAGATAAAGAGAAACCCACTCGAACTCTAAATGAACGGCCTCGTGGATGTGAAAAACAACCAGTCAGTGAGTGGAGGTCGAATCCCAATTAATTTCAATTTATTATTAAGGCATTCGTGGTCAACACGATCAAAGAAGCTGATCCATGTGATATAATCCCCCAGTCCATCATATATTAACGATTACATTACTTTGGAGGGAATGGATAGAAGTGTTGCCGGTTCGCATTTCTTTCGATTGCTTCATTGATCCTCTTTGAAGATTGGCGTTATGTGGCCCGGCTTCCAAGAGTCGGGCACTATCCTCTGAACAAATTGATCATAATCTCGATAGCAGGCCCTATCACCCGCGACACTTATCAAAATTCACGCCACAGAACCTTGGTCTTTTGTGGGTAAACCAGAATTCGCGCTTGAAAACTTGGCAGAATAAAGTCTGTGTACTCCTGAAACAGATTAGCGTAAGCCTAGGCTGAACCTTCAGTCAGAAAGAAGAGCTACGTGGCCTACGATAGTCTTCCTAAGGATGACTGTATTGGCAAATAGCCCTCGAAATCAATGGCCCAAGTTAAACGAAATTCAGTATTGTTGTTGACTGTCTATGTTTCAGTGGAATGCTTATGCTGAAGGCATTCGGTGTATCTCATGCTATACTCGCATTTTTAGGTCACGCTCAGTTTCGAACGGCAGCCTACCATCTACAAGGAAATAGCATGACAAAACGTTCCCATAGGCAGCTAAAAGCTGCCATTAAGCCGCAAGCACACCACAGTGAGCCACGGTGCTGCATCTTGTCCTACTGGATATCCAGAATGCGTTGAAGGCTGATTCTGGATGCATTTCTGCACAGATGGCTTACAAAGCTTCTCTTTCACAGCCAGGTGGTTTCGCTACCTCTTAAACTTTCACACAAGTTAATCGTACGTCTTGAGTGAGTGGGCTCAAGAACGTGATACTTCAGTTAGACCTTTAGCTGTTCTATCTCAAACAACGGAAATCTTCATTCAGCCCATGTTACAAGCGATATCGCACGTTTTCGTACGCCAAGATGCCATTCGTTGATCGCTTAGGCCGCCTTACGACGGGTCATCCAAAGACATGAAGCAGCACGAAATGTTCTGTGCGATAGAAAGGGATGGATGAGAAGATATTGTCAGTACTGACCGTTTGAAGCCAGAGTGCTCCCATGGTAACTCCACCGTAAGCGACGTTGCCTTTGACACTATTCTACCGGCGGACACCAGAGTTATTGAAATTTGTGAGGGTATACGCGGTATTATACAGACGAATCATTTATCTTTGCAATGGGAAGCATGATTAGGTCAAATAATCGGGCTCCTTTAATATATAAAGACACAATTGAACGGCTCAAGTAGACATGTACCACTTATCTTTGTCTTTCGAAAATTTTGGGTTACTGATTTTGAGGAATTATTCGCCGCTACGATATGTTTGTGTCTAAACGATCGCCCTGACGCCGTAGCGCTAGTTAAGAGGCCACTGGCAACACACCCACAGTGGTGGCCCAAAGCTGAAGACTTCTAAGCGCCACTTACCCCCAAACGTTCGTGACACTTCTGGAGCATCGAACCACTGAACATGACTTTAGGGTGGGCAGTGAAAAGGCCTGTCACATCCTTGAATAACCTGCATCACGGTCAGCCGCCGAACTCGGAAGCTGCGTAGCCCTCACACTTAGCCATCAACGAGTCGTACGAAACCTTACCTTTTTCATATCCCACCAAAAGGGACGAAACGTTGCTTTTGAGATAGGGCTGAATAGCCTTCGAATAGCCTTTGTTCGGTACCCCGCATCTCACTGAGATCGAAAAGTTGACGTTGCATGCAAGTGAGCAAGCGTAACGCAACAAAGTCGTTTATCATGGTCCATAACCGAAGGCGGATAGAAAGAACAACAGTTTCTGCCAGCAGAATATTGGATAAAATCGAGATCACCCATTTTGTAATCGCACAGAAGTACAGTTCCTCGTGTACTTTTTGTCATTCCGGATATGACTTGCTGCCACGTCTGCTTCTTGCCCAGACAGACAACGGATCGAGTGATGTGACAGGTCAAACAAGCCACGTGTTGATAGGGGCAGTGGCGAGGCTTCAAATGTGGGTGGAAGCTGGAAACTTTTAAAGAATTCAAACTGCCAGCAGTTCGGTGAATGGTTTGGCGACTGCCTGTGGTGAAGTGAACTGAGTATCTCTTCATAAGACTGAGCGGAGACGTGGCTCATCGGCTTGGACAGTTGACTTTCAACCAGTGAGTCACAGGTTCGAATGTCGCCTCGCTCACCAAAGTCCCGGGTGCCACTTAGTGTCC